ATATCAGACTAAAAAGTCTTTATATATGGTGCATGTTTTGAGATATATAGTCGGGGGAAAAAAGTTTCTCCTACTATACAACAGATTCCAGATGTGTATCAAAGGGTTACCCACACCAACCATGTAATTATGCAATCCACTCTTCAGTGGTTAGTTACCAACTCGGTTTCTCCAATTTAATTCTGATGCTATTTGCAGATGGCACCACATTCTACAAGTTGAAGTCAGTCCCACAATACTGCCCCCCCACCCTCATTTCAGACACCAATCTTGGCCTCTGGAACCTCTGATACCCACAAATCAGAGTTGTCCCAAACTCCTCCTTGGGTTGGAAACATTCTAATGGCTCAAAGAACTCATAAAAGTATTTCACTGATATTTACCCATTATCACAAAGCATACAGGTGAACAGCCAGATGGGAGATGAATAGGGCAAAACACACAGGAAGAGGTTGGCAGCTTCTGAAACTGGCTAAGGCCAAGACATATTGGGATATAAATTCTTTCCATGCTCTTTCCGGGCACACCATCCTCCATTAACTTCCATGTCTGGAAGTTCTCGAACCCTGTCCTTTCGGGCTTTTCAGAATATAGACATGATCGATTTCAGGCCCTCCCCGCTTCAGAAATGGAATGCAGGGCTTAGAGTTCAAAATCTCTGAGTGCAGGTTGGTTCCCTTGGCAATCAGCCCCCACACAAGGGTTATTTAGGGACTTTCCAAAATTCAGTTGCCAGGTGCGGTGGCACACGCCTGTAATCCCAGCACTCAGAAGGCTGAGGCAGGAGGATCACTGTGAGTCGGAGACCAGCCTGTGCTACATAGTGAGACCCTGTCCTAACAAAAAAAAAAAAAAAAAAAAAAAAAAGCAGCTTACTAACAAGCTCAGGTGCATAAGAAAATAGCTCAGGAACTGTCCTGAACAAGTTTTCGAAGCCAAGGAGTAACGGGATAATTTTATTTTATTTTTTTTATTTATTTTGGTACAGGGGATCAAACTCAGGTCCTTACATTTGCAAGGCAGGCAGGAGTACCACTGAGCTAAACTCCCGGCCCTGAGATAGTGGTAATTTTAATAAAAATTATTGCTCTAGTCACTTAGGAAATTACAAGGTTACAGGAGCTGTGAGCCAGAATCTACAGAAAAAAACTAAAATATGTATTTCATAGTATCAGTGTTTCATGTTTCTCTAAAGAAAAGGTAAGAAATAAAATTTCCCTGCTATTTGAAAACAGAACAGCCAGAGATGTTTCCTATAAAAACCTTTTTTTTTTCCCTGAGTAAAATGTCCTTTCAATTCCTAGGCACACAAAAACTGATTTCCTCCATTCCATAAACCCTTGGCTTTACAATATTTACCTCGTATAATTATGAGTTTTTGTAATTTCTAATTACAAGATATATTCAGATCAAACAGCATTTCTCTTTCACCTCCATTGTCTTAGCACAATGCCTTGCTAAGTGCAATGAGAACGCATTTTTTTGAGTGAAGGCACAAGCTGGTCTCAAGAACCCACTCTGCCGGTGGGATCACCAGAAGGTTCTTAGGCAGCTTTGCTGATTAGGCAACCAGTAAATATTAAAATGGCATAATCAAAGACAAATGAAGATTAATTTAAAGAAAATGTCCTTCCTTACCAGAGGCTAGCAATCAATTCTTTATCACAGGGGGCATCCACACCATCTAATTTTGGAGAAGCACTATGTTGCACTGATAGAATTTATTCTTCCAGGAGTTCTGAGATCCGAGGAAGTAGTGTTTACCTCTGTATATTTATTTTGTGATTATGCAGCCAACTGGTGTGTCTAAAATGTGGGTTTCCTGACTCCTCTCTGATGTCACTGCAACATGGTGCTTTTCCAAAACTCAGCCCTCTGAGGCTGACGCCCCTACGGTAAAGACTTGAGCACTCTGCAAGGTGGAACAGTTTCCTTAAATTAATCCCCCAATCTTTGATTACATAACTCTAACTCTTAAATTTTAGTCTTAAGACTCCTTCTTAGTAGCAAATTCCTTTCTCTGAGGAGTTTGTTTCACACTTTGAAGAGATTCTCCCACTTCCTCCCTCCATCTATAAATCTCACCTTCTTTTTCTTCAAGTGTTTGTGTCAAATCCTCTATCAGCGTCACCACCTCCTCACTATTCTTAGGGTGCTGGGACTTTACCCAAATCCCGATCTCCCCAGGCAAAATGGTCAGGAATTGCTCGAACACTAACAGTTCTAAAATCTGTTCTTTTGTGTGAATGTCTGGTCTCAGCCACTGAATGCATAACTTCCAGAGTTGATTCAGGGCTTTCCTGGGTCCAGCCTCTTGTGAGTAACAAAACCTCCTGAACTTTTGTCTGAAAGACTCTAAGTCAGCAGTGTCTCCTCTAATGAGAGCTTCTTGGTTCCCAGAAGTATTCACTCCTGGGACCTTGGTTTGTTTGCTTGTGGCCAGAGCTGGATGGCCTGGGAAAATGGCTGTCATCTTGTTCAGGGTACTATAGCTTGCACTGTGTATCACAAGCCTTGATGCAGTCCCCTACAGATTATTTTGAGTATCAGATACAGTCCAACAAAAGGAACTAAACACAGGCAAATATCAAGGTTTCCAGGGATCCAGTTTACAGTCTTGAGCAATTCTGAAAAAGAAATATAAAATACAGATAAGTGAAACAAACTGTTAATCCTGAAATTTTTGATTTGGTTCAAACACACCCTTAGGAGGCTTAAAACAGCCCTAGCTCAACTACTTTATTAATTATAAAGATAATTTTCTTCATAGGTCAAAAGCCAAGGAGTTACGCACAGGTTAAAGATATCCTCCAGGAAGCCAGTTACTTTAGACTTATTACTGTTCATAAATCTTATCAGGAAAGGCTCACCGTTCCCAGGGATAGTCATAAATCTACTTAACTGATTACTCCTGCCCTCTCTCAAACTGCCACACATTTCCCAATATTATATCCCAAGATCCTCTCCTTGCTATCTACTCAAACTGCCTGAGGAAGGCTTCTCCAACCTGGTCTCACACTGTAGCCAAAGGATTTCTTCTGATTTGCAGGTTGATTCTGTCGTCCTTCCCCTGCTTACACTCCCTCTCTGGCCCACAGTCTCAAAGTTCAACCGCAGGGTGGCATAACCATGGAGACAGGCAGGGCTGACCTCACCTCGTGCTCTCTAACCTACCCCGGAGGACATTACAGACACAAAGAAATAGCTCCCTCTCCCCAGCCTCAATGTTATCCTATCCTTAGTACCGGAGTTACTCCCCCTCCTTGGAATGCTGCTTTCTTCCCCGTCTACTATCAAACTTTCATTCATTCTTTAAAACTTCTTTTCGGGCCAGGGATTTAGCTCAGCGGTTCGGTGGCTTGCCTTGCAAGCGCAAGGGCCCGAGTTCAATCCCCAGTACCCAAAGCAAACAAACAAAAAAACCTCTTTTCAACTGTCACCTCTTGGTCCTTTGTGCACACCCTGCCTTGTGTTGCACGCTTACATTCACTGTACAAGTGACTGAGCATCAACAATGGCCGGGCGGTCCGGAAGAGGCTCCTTTCTCACCGAGGGCCGAGCAAGGAACAATGCAGCTCGAAAAGGCCAAGGGAGAGGATGTGTGCTTCCCACTGCAATTATCATACCAATGGCAATTATCATACAGTATCCGGCACAGCGCCCGGGTGTGAGGCGCCTACTCGGCACCCAGCGCTCTTCGGGGTCCGCGTGGCTCCGCGGTGACTAAACGCACTCGGCCCCGTCTCCAGCGAACTTACAGTGGAAGCTCAGTGAAAATGTGATGCACGCACAGGTGCCCAGCCGGGGGAAGGAAGGCAGAGAGCGGATTTCGCTAAGGGGTTACAGTATTCTGGAGACACTTTTGCTGATCTGGACCAGCGAGAAAGGATGCTACTGGTTTCTGGGAGGCAAGATCTGGGGATGCTGCTAAACATCGGGCAAAGGGTCAGTTACCCCCCATCCCCCGCCCCTCCATAAACACATAAAGCGAGAAATTATCCCGCCCAACATGCGAAAACTGCCGAAGTTTGGAGCCCCCGGGCACAAGGAGGGGTGGAGGGAAGCCGGTGGCTCGGTTCTGCAGGAAAACGCCTGACTCCTCTCGGAAAAGCAGTCTCGGGGCACGGCCAGAGGGCTCGGCTGCTCTCCCACCCGCATCCGACCCAGCGGCGCCCTCCAAGCCAGTGACCAAACTAGGGTTCCGGGACAACCAATACCTGCAACCGCATCCGCAGCCAGCTCCACAGCACTGAGCTTCCAGAAGCTCGTCCGGGGGTGGGGCGGCTGCGCGCGCACGGAGCTACCGCGCCTGCGCAGAGGCTCGGAACTACGATTCCCGAGGAGCGCTCTTTCCGCTAACTCCAAGCTCTCTGCTTTCCATAGGCTCCCGCCTGTCCTGTTGCGCATGGTTAATGGGAAGCTGTTGGTGGGCTCAGCCGCAGAATTATTGCTGCGCCAGAGGCCTAGAGGCCTAGAATAGTCTCACATTTTCAGCTCTATGCGGTCACGACCATTTTCTGTAATCCAAGATGGAAAAAGCCTTTGTAGAAGTATATTAGCAATACATTCAGTGCAAGTTGTAATCAACACTGCAACTAAACAAATGTTCATCTTCTCACATACCGACCATCATGATCCAAAACCAGCCTCTATTGTGCCTCATCTGGACTTTTGAAATAGCTTCTTGGTTTCGCCTTCTCTAGTCCACTCTGTAATAGCTAGGCTAGAGAGATGTTTATAAGATATAATACAGACTAGGTCCCTCTTCAGTTTAAAATCCTGCAAAAACTTCGCATTTCCCTCAGAATAAAAATTCCAGTCTTTGCAGTGGGTCTTTAGAGTGGCCTCATGCAGTGCAAGTAATTCTGCCTAACGTCTACAGCTAGATACATTCATATAACTAGTGCCTAGACAGAGAAACAGAAGAATCATTTTACTTGTTTTCATCCCCTGGAATCTACAGTTTAGTGACTAGACTCAGATGGTATGTGCTCTTTGTGTATGGCTTCTTTCATTCAACACTATGTCTATGAAATTTAACAATGTTGCTGCACATGGTTATCAATCAGTTATCTTCATTGCTAAATAGTATTCCAATTTCACCTGTTACTTAGTTTCCTGTTTTCATAACACTTAGCCTAGCATCTATATGGAGGTGTGGAGGAAGGATATATGTATGTTTGTGTTTGTGTAAAGGGGAGGCTGTTTCCCTTCTAGAATCACTCCACTTTAAAAAAATTGAAGAGCCAAGTTCATACCTACTTCTTCCCACTTCATATTTCACAGAATAAGATTCAGCACAGGGAAGAGGCTTGCCAAAGATCACTTAGCTGATAAATTGACAGCTGACCAGCTCCAAGTAGAAGCCCTTTAGGAGGGAATACATCTACCCCCATCTCCAGAGGGAGTAGGGCAGGCTAGGAATATGACCAACAGTTGAGGGCAGATTTTTAAAAAGCTGTTGCTGTCACATGATGGTAAATGCCAAATTCTGCTTACTAGAAATATTACAGATGAAAAAGGGGCACTCCTGACTGAAGCCCTGGCTTCCCCTTATGCTGGCAGCCTTTAACATGTCTCCTCAGGATCTTGAGGACTCTTGGGTATCTAGTGTGGAGGCCCTGAAAATCTAAAGATCTGAGTTACTTCAAGGACAACAAGTCCTCATTTCTCTGGAACTTCAGGGACTCCAGGAATCTTTGAGCCATTGAGAAGCCATGATTTTCTTCCTGGGAGAATGATCATCCCCTGAGGTGGGGGGAGGGGGAATCTCCTGCTTGGCTATGTAGAGCCACAGGGAGTGGTATGTACTGGAAGAAATAGCAAACAAGGTAGCTACTAATCAATGTTAAGTACCCACTAGTGAAGAAGATGAAGACATGAGCAAAGGAGAATTCAGTAGAGTGAAGACTCCAAGAGACAGAAGAAGCACAGGTGGAGAAATTAGTTTTAAACAATCAGAGGCAAGTTCTACTTTTCCTTGTAACACAAGAAAAGAAGGCAAGGAATGAAGTAGTGCAAGGAGGTATGTAACTTGTGCTGGGAGATCATCTACTGAGACCTCAGGAGGTAGGAGAGGTAGGAGAAAGGTAGGAAGGAGAAATGGAGGTAGGAGAATGGTAGTGAAAGTAGATTAGGTTCTAAATTGCTGCTGGGGAGAATGTGAGCTGCCCAGAAAAATGAAACAATTTCCCCACAGACTTAAGGACCATTTGAGATTAGAGGATACCAATTTATGTCATTGTCTATTTGAGGGAACATTGGTTTTTCTCAAAGTAGCTCCAAAATAGGTGCAAAGAACAAGAATAGTTGGATTGATCCAGTGTGTGGGGTTTTGTAGCCTGAGTTTCACAGGAGAACAATGAGACAAGCATTTGAAGATGTATGAGCAAATATGGTTGAAGTGATAAATGATAGAATCCAATTTGGATAAGTTAGATAAAGATGAGAGTAGCTAATAAAAGAGAAGAAAGTAGGCCAGGTGCACACCTGTAATCCAGCATGTGGGAGGCTAAGGCAGGAGGATCATCATGAGTTTTGAAGCCAGCCTGGCCTACATAGTGAGTTCAAGGCCAATCTGATCTGCATAGTGAGGCCCTGTCTCAAAAAAGTAGAAAGAAAGAAAGAAAAAAGGGAGTTAAAGAATATGAAAAATCAAACTTTATTGACTAATATACTTAGAAATATACCCACCATATGACCCAGCATCACACAGCTAGCTATTTATTCATGAAAAATGTAAATACCATATGGGGATGTTTGTGACTTTTATTAAAAATGTCCCAAAACTGAGAATAATTCAAGTGCACTGGTGAGCAGATAAATTTACATTCATATAATGAAATATTAATCAGCAATAGGAAAGAAGGCAAACTAGTGATACATGTAAAATATGGGTAAATCTCAAAAGAAGTATGTTGTGAGAGAAACCAAACAGAAAATGATATAGCCTGTATGATTCCATTTATACGCCATTCTAAAAAGACAAAGATGGAATCAGACTAGTGATTGTCAAGAACTGGGAGGAGAATGAAGAGCTCAGGGAACATATTTTTGTGTGTAATGGAAATATTCTAAAGCTTGACGGTGGTGGTGGGTGCATGGCTATATTTGCCTATAAAATTGTAAACTGCATACATCTGTGCAGTAGAATTGTATACCATAGCAGTGTGAATGGTATTACAGGTGAATTATACTTCAATAGACATGAAAGAATACTGTATTCTCATGGCTTAAGTCTGGTTTGTTCCCCAAAGATTCATATGGTGGCAGCTGAGTCCTCAAGGTGATGGGGTTGAGGTAGTGAAACATTTAAGAGATAGGGCCTAGTGCAAGGTAATTTGGCCATTGTGGGCTCTGCTTTTAGAAGGAATTAGTGCTGCTCTGTGGACGGACACAAGAGAGTGGATTGTTATAAGTGAGTCTATCCCGCCAGGCGTGGTGGCGCGTGCCTGTAATCCCAGCACTCCGGAGGCTGAGGCAGGAAGATCACTGTGAGTTTGAGACCGGCAACATAGTGAGTTCCAGGTCAGTCTCAACTACCTAGTGAGACCTTGTCTCAAAAAAAAAAAGAAAAGTGAGTCTACCCCATGTGCTTTACACCCTTTTGTAAGCATTTGGTTCCCTTTCCGATTCTCCATCATGTTGCAACACAGCTAAAAGGGACTCTAACATAGGCTGAACAGATAAGGTTGCCTGATCTTGGACTTCCATTCTCCAAAACTGTGAGCTAAATAAACCCCGTTTCTTTATAAACACCCAGCTTCAAATAATTTATTATAGTATCAGAAAACAAACTAGTACATATATTTTCACATGAAGACTTGTATATAACTCTATACAGCAGCTTTATTTTTAATGATTAAAAAAACTGGAACTGTGGTTTGGGATGTAATTCAGTGATAGAGTGTTTGCTTAGCAAGGCCTACGGTTCCATCCCCAGTACTGGGAAAACAAATAAACTAACCACCTGGAACTATTTCTAATGTCCAGGAATTAGATAGTGGATAAACAATAGTGGTACATCCATACAATAAAATACTATTTAGTAACGAACAGAAGTGCGTTATCCATGCATATAACAATGTGGATGAATCTCAAAGTCAAAGAAAAAGAGGCAGGAGTGGTGTGAGCCTATAGATCCAGCTACTCAAGAGGCTGAGCTTGAGCTCAGGAGTTCAAAGACAGCCTGGGGAACATAATTAGAGCTTGTCTCAAAAAGAAACACAAAGCTCTTATCTCAAAAAGAAACAGAAAGCTCTGGCATATGCCTGCTATACTAGTACTTGGGAAGATGATGCAGGAGGATCACCCACAAGTTCAAGGCTGGCCTAGACTACATAGTGAGACCCTGTCTCAAAAAAAAAAAAAAAAGAAAAAAGAAAAAAGAAAAGAAATGGGGGAAGGGGGAGAAGAGGAAGAAGGAGTGGGAGAAAAAGAAGAGAATGTTAAATATTCCACTTATTAAAAATTTGAAGCTAAACGTGGTGGTGCATGTCTATAATCCCAGCACTGAGGAGGTTAGACAGGAGGATTATGAGCTCGAGCCCAGCGTGGACGACATGAGTTCAAGGCTGGCCTGGACTACATATCAAGACCCTGTTTCAAAAAATAAAAAACAAATTTTTAAAAGATTTAGGCTGGAAGTGTAGCTCAGTTCTATGGTAGAGTGTGTGCTTAGTGGTTAACATACCTGAGGCCCTATGTTCTATCCTAGCATCAATACAAATGAAACAAAAATATTTTTGAGAAAATATAAAAGAACCTATAGTGACAGGAAGCAAATCAGTGGTTGCCCATGAGAGGAGACAGGGAGAAATTACACAGGGGCATGAGCAAAGTTTTGGAGAAAACAAATATGTTTTTTATGTCATTGTGGTAATGGCTTCCTGGGTATACACATATGTTAGGAACTCATCATAGCAAACTCCTTAAATATATGCAATTTATTGCTAATCAGTTAAACCTAGCTCAAGCTTGAAATTTTCTATATCTCAATAAACCTGACTTTGGGGAAAGAATGCTTTGGGATAACTGAGTGAAAGTTTGAATGACAGGCTGATGGGTGGAATAAATGGTGGAAAGATTTAAGTGGTAGACGACTTGCAGGTAACAACCAAATCTAGGGTATGACCTTGAGAGAGAGCCATGGCAATGGAGTGAAGGTGAAGG